GGAAGTGTCTGTAGAGTTGGTATTAATTCTTCTTTAAACATTGGGTAGAATTCTCCCACGAAACCATCTGGGTCTGTGGATTTCTTTTTAGGAGGTTTTAAATTATAAGTTGAATTTCCTTAATAGTTAAAGGGCTATTAGAATTATGTATTTTATATTGGATGTGTTATAGTTTCTATTTTTCCAGGATTGGTCCATTTCATCTAAGTTGTCAAATTTATGTGAGTAAAGTTGTTCATATTGTTCCCTTACAATCCTTTCGATATTTGCAGGGTATGTACTAATATTCCCTATTTCCTTCCTGATATTAGTGATTTTTCTCTTTTCTCTTTGTTAGTTTTACCAGAAGTTTGTCAATTTTGTTGATCTTTTCAAAAACAATACCTTTTGTTTCATTGATTTTTCTCTATTGTTTTTCTGTTTAAATTTCATTAATTTTCTACTCTTATTTTTGGCATTTCCTTTCTCCCACTTGCTTTGGATTTATTTTGCACTTCTTGTAGTTCCTTTAGGTGGAAGTTTGGATTATTACTTTGAGACTTTTCTTCTTTTTTAATGTAAGTATTTAGTGCTATAAATTTCCCTCTCAGCACTGGTTTAGCTGCATCCCACAAATTTTGACATACATTTTCGTTTTCATTTAGTTCAATGTATTTTTTAAATTTCCCTTGAGACCTTCTTTTTGACCCATGGATTATTTAAAAGTTTGTGGTTAGTTTCCAGGTGCTTGGGATTTTCCTATTAGCTTTTTGTTATAAATTTCCAATTTGATTCCTCTGAAGTTAGAGAACATATTCTGTCTGATTTTAATTCTTTTAAATGTGCTGAGGTTTATCTTATGGCCTAGGATATGCAGTCTATCTTGAGATATGTTTTGTGGACACTTGAAAAGAATGCATTCTGCTGTTGTGTGGAATGTTTCATAAATTTCAGTTCAATTCTGTTGGTTGATGGTGTTGTTAAGTTCTGTATCCTTGCTGATTTTCTGCCTGGTTGTTCTATCACTTGTTGAGAGAGGGTATCAAACTTTCCAACTATTATTGTGGATTTATCTAGTTTTCCTTTCTGTTATATCAGTTTTTGTTTCACTATTTTGCAAGCTCTGTTGTTTGGTTCATGTGCATTTAGGATTGCTATGTCTTCTTGGTGGACTGACCCCTTCAACATTATGAAATATCCTCCCTGTCCGTGGTAATTTCCTTTACTCTGAAGTCTACTTTACCTGATATTTAGCCACTCCTTCTTTCTTTTGATTAATATTTGCATGGTATATCTTTTTCTATCCATTTACTTTCAACCTACATATAGCCTATTTGAAGTGAGTTTCTCATAGGCAGCATATACTTGCTCATGTTTTCTTTCTTTTTTTTGTTGTTGTTGCTCATGTTTTTTAAATCTACTCTGGAATCTCTTTAAGTTTATGTATTTGGACTATTTATGTTAATATAGTTATTTGTATATTAAACCTAAGTCTGTCATGAAATTTTTTGTTTCATTTTCTGTTTGCTCCGTCTTTGATTTTTTCCCCTGCCTTCCTGTGGTTTCTGAGACATTTTTAAAATTCCATTTTGGGGGCGCCTGGGTGGCTCAGTCGTTAAGCATCTGTCTTTGGCTCAGGTCATGATCCCAGGGTCCTGGGATCAAGCCCCACATCGGGCTCCTTGCTCAGTGGGAAGCCTGCTTCTCCCTCTCCCACTTGTGTTCCCTCTCTCGCTGTGTCTCGCTCTGTCAAATAAATAAATAAAATCTTTAAAAAAAATAAAATAAAATTTCATTTTGATTGGTCAATAGTGTTTTGGAGTGTATCTCTTTGTATTGTTTTTAAAGTGGTTGCTCTAGGTATGACATACATGGCTTAACAAAGTCTACTGGTTTCAATGTTTTATCAATTAAAGTGAAGTGTAAAAACCTTTCTTCTTTTACAGCACATACAGAATTTATAATCAGATGGAAAACGCTTGATATAATATTATGTAAGACTAAGCAGCATGCAAATATATATATCCAATATGACGCTATCTATATTAGAAACAACACATGCACAGATCAGCAGACGGAGAGAAAATATAACGAAATTGTTAAGTGGGACTGTTTGGATGCATTAAGAATATGGTTACTTTCTTTTTCTCTTCCTCTCTACTTTTACATATTTCTAAGTTTTCTTTTTTTGAGCATGTGCTATTTTTATAATGGAAGAGAAACGTAAAAGAATACAGTAACCTGAACCTTCAGATCGGCCTTTTGTTGTTCACATTTCAGTTATGCCTCCCCTGTCCTCTGGGAAGGTGAAAGGGTTTGCATAGATGGTGGCAGGTTGAGAAGTTGGCTTGAAAGGACCAGAACCCATGAGTTTACATGTGAAATGAGGTTAAAAAAAAAAATCCCCATTATGATTATGATGATAACAAGGAGATAATCTGAGTGGTAACCTTCATCCAGGCCAGGTCCCCAGTCTGGCTGGAGGAGCCAGCATCAACCCTACCTTTTCCAGATGGGACGTGCTCTCATCACAAGCCTCTCTGAGCAGGTGCCGGGCCCTGCTGGGGTTTCCTTGCTTGTATGCAGCATGAATGCCTTCTGTCCCAGGGCACTGTGCTGTGGGGTCACCGCCTGGTGTGGACGGTTTGCTGCCCATGTCCTCAGCACCTGGGTAGACAGAAGCACACACACAATGTCACCATCACTTGCCAGGGCTGCTCATGGGGACCACTGGAGAGGAGAGCAGGATGTGCTCTCTAGGACATAAATGTGAGGATTCAGGTGGCCCTGAAATAATGCCAGTGTCACCAAGGACAGCAGACCCCGGGACCAGCAGCTCTGGGGGAGGGACTTCCTGTGTGGGGCTGGTGCTCAGCCAGGCTGTCTCTGCAGCCACACCCTGCCGTAGTGGAGGGGGTCCAGGACACCTAGGGCCGCTGTCTGGCTGGGAACAGCCAGGCTGATCTCATTGACAGCAACAGAAAAGCCAGGGCTTTGGTGATATAGCGGATGGTCCAGCCAAACTGTCCCCCTGCTGTTTCCCTCATGGGGACTTAGTATCTAGTGGTAGAAGAAAGAAAGGCCTAATGCTAGGGATTTGGAAATCTATCCCCTCTCTGCCTAGAAAACCCCACTAAGGGCATGGGATTTAGAATCAGCAGCCCTCATCCATACCTGCCCTTGCACAAATATGCCACAATATGATCTTGGCAGTCCCATAAAACTCTGGGCCTTGGGACACCCTTGGACCACTGATGTGACTGGTCCAGGGTATCCCTAAGAAATCGCGTGACTCTGCCATTCTGGTTATCTGAAATACTCCATTCTGGGTTATCTGAAATGTGGCTCAGCCATCAGTCAGTATCTTGCTGTTTTCTAATGGTGGACACTGGCTGTCCTGGGTGGAAGACGATCCAGGCTGCTCCAGGACAACTGAGGACCTGGTGCTACTTAGGAGGAGTGGTCAGCTTTGCAGGAGGCCATCACGCAGCAATGCTGGGGCATCCACTGAGCAGCTGTGATAGGCCGGGCACTGTACTGGGTGCTGAAGATGCAGACATAAAGGAAGTCAGCTCCTACCCTCACTGAGCTCTCCCCTTAGAACAGGGGTTTTGTGGACCCTGTGGCTGATAAACAGGTTTCAGAGGTTGCCTGAACATCCTAAGTTGGACGCAAAGCTGTGTGAGCATGTGTGCACATGTGTACATTTTTTCTGAGGAGAAAAATCAAGGCTTCTACCAGATTTCCAAATGTGTAAGTGAACCAGAGTTAAAAGTTTTACCTCTATAAATGCTACTTAAAAGACTGCAAAGAATGAGGAGTTATGTTCTGATTGTGTTGAGTGAAATAGGGAGATTTTCCAACCATCCTTGGCCAAGTCCACACAGTCAGTAAAAGGCAAACCTGAACAGAAGTTTGGTCCCCTAGCTCTCAGGCTGGGGTGAACCCCCTCCATCTCTCTGTTGCCTCTTTGAAGAAATGAATAAAAAAGAAGCTTCTTCTCATGTGAAAATAATGCTGAGAAAGGTTGGTTTCCAAATATTCTTATCATAGAAGTGAATCACACTATAGCAGCTAACTTTTGGAAAATTAAAAAAAAATTATTTATTTACAATAGCATAAAACTACATGCTTAGAAACAAATTTAACAAAAGATGGGAAGACCCATATAAATGTAAAGACATCCCATGTTCATGGATTAGAAGAATCAATATTCGTAACATGTCAATTCTTCCCAATTTTATCTATAGGTTCAATAAAATCCCAACCATAATTCTCATAGGCTTTTAGGGGATAGAAATTAACAATCTAGGGGTGCCTTCGTGGCTCAGTCAGTTAAGCGTCTGCCTTCGGCTCAGGTCATGATCCCAGGGTCCTGGGATTGAATCCCACATCAGGCTCCCTGCTCAGTGGGGAGTCTGCTTCTCCCTCTCTCCCGTTTGTGCTCTATTTCTTGCTATCTCTCTCTCTCTCAAATAAATAAATAAATAAATAAAATCTTAAAAAATATATTGGGTAAGTTGAAGGTGTACAACTTGTTGATTCAATACACTTATATATTGCAAAATGATTACCACCAGAGTGTTAGCTAACACTGTATAACATCATCTAATTACCGTTTCTTTTCTGTGGTGAGAATACTTGAGATTTACTCTTTTAGCAACTTGCAAGTATATAGCACAGTATTATTAACTATAATCACAGAGCTGTATATTAGGTCTCCAGAACGTATTCATACCCTATGACCAACATCCCCCCATTTTCTGCCCCCTCCAGCCCCTGGCAAATTATCTACTCTCTGTTTCCAGGAGTTTGGCTTTTTCTGATTCCACGTAGAAGTGTGACCATACGGTATTTGTCTTTCTGTGTCTGACTTATTTCATTTAGCACAACGCCCTCAAAGTCTACCCACGTTGTTGAAAGTGGCAGGACGCCTTTCTTTCTTGTGACTGAAAAATATTCCATCGTAGATATGTACCACCTGCTCTTTATCTATTCATCCACAAGCAGTGGCTACTCACCATTTTCCCTGGACAACTGCTGGACAAGGCACTAGCTTCGATGAAATACTTCCTGAGGAGATGTTTGCTGGGGTCAGGACTGTCCAGTAAGATGTAGGAACAGAAAAAAGCCCCGTGCCGAAGCAGGAATATGGCGATGTCTTCGTTTCCTAAAGGACAGAAAATGGCATTCAGATGTAGAGCGTGTCACAGCTGTCCAAAATGGCAGACGCTAATAGGTGAAACCGGGAAGGAAAAAGTAGTTGGGCCGGTGGACCTTCTCTATGACTTCCCTTGAGGTGGCAAATTCCTGTTCGTGACTTTTTGTGGGACTCTGCCCTGTGGAGCGCCTCCTACTGTGGTCCCATTTGCCACAGTTTGCCTGTCACTGAAATCCCCTTGCAGGGGCCAGTGGGGCCAATGAGGGAAGGTGCAGACATTTTGAAAGAGAGACAAATAACAGAATTTGCAAGCGTCTCCACACAGGCACTTTAAGAGCTAGGGGTGAGGGGGAAGACAAGGTCCCCCATCTCCAACGTGTGAGGGTTCCCATGGGTGGGGCTGACCGGGGGGGGGGACCCACCTGACTTGATGGCCGCGTACAGGGGTAAGCGCACGATGACAGGAAACTCGTTCTTCCTGACTGCGTAGCTTTCCGGGTCGGCCCCGTGCGTCAGGACGAGGAGCTTCACCAACCCCAGGTGCCCTCGCTGACAAGCCAAAGCCAGCATCCAGTTCAGCAGCCGCTGGGGGCTGCAGGGACCTGGCAGGAGATGACAGGACAAAGGGAAGGTGCCACTCAAGGGTTTTGGTTGTTCCCATTCTGCTCTCCCCTCAGACTGTCCCATTTCCAGCTGCAAGTCGCTTCTGTCAAGTTGGTAGTGTTTTCTGGAATAGTCCCTCTGAATTGCATATGCCATTTTCCCACATCATTATAAACCCACTTGCTCATCACATAATGCCACGTGAGGAAAAGCAGCATTCACAACAGCATATGAGGTACGACTGTAACTGGATTAAAAAAAATGCACGTGTGGAAATAAGACTAAAAGGTACTACCCCGTGTTGCAGTTATATTATCTCTGGGTAGTGGGGATTGTGACTGTTCACCTCACCCCTTTCCCCATCCCCAGCCCTGACCTCATCCCCAGAGTAGCATTACATACAGGGACATGGCCTTTGGAGACCAGCAGCTTAGGGTTAAAATATTTTAGCTGTGTAATCTTAAACAAATTTCTTAACTTCTCCCTGACTCAGTTTACCTATTGGTAAAATGGGACTAATAGCACGCATCCTCCCAAGTTTAATGTGAGGATTGCATGACATAATGTATGTCAAGTGCCTGGCTCAATATATTCTAACTCATTATTTGTCATTATGTTTTTAGAGTACTAACACTTTAATGCATTTCTAAATTATCTGTGAGTACATATATTACTTTCAAAAATGAAAGAAAAAGGCTTTGATGAAAGAAATAGATCTAACTACCCAGCCTAAAACTTTGCAAATTACTCCCTGCAAGAACCACTTACTTAATTCCAGGAGGAAATAACACTTAGCGCACTGAAGGAACAGGGACACTGTGGGCTGAAGTATTACAATATCTTCAAGTTCAAAGTAATGCAACATCTTTTGGATGTAGCAGCCATGGAAAAATGATCTCATCCTCCATGCTGACACTTCCAAATTGCATCATAACATTGTCTCATTTCCAGAGGCTGAGAGTCCTTTGGAACCAAAGTGCTCCCAAGCACGGAGAGAGGGACCCTCCCCTCCATGGTAGGAAATTGACTAGGAAACAGGGGTGAGGTCAGGTTGGAAGAAATGAAAATCCAGCACAGAGGGTGCCTGGCACAGTGCCTGGGCTGCAGCAGATGCTAAATAAATGTCCCTTCTTCTCCCTCTGATTACTAGAATTAACAACTGAAAGGAGGTGGTGCTCAAACAGATATTAAAAAGTGATCCCCAACTGGCTTACAGCAACAATACCTAGAGAAGAGAAATCCAGTCACCATGCTGTGACTTCTGTTGAGGTTGGATGTATACCCGTCTGAGAAGGCTGTATTAGGCTATATTTCATAGCCATGATTTTAATGTGAAGAAATCAGAGCTCAGAGAGGTTTGGGAACTTGCCAAAGGTCCCACAGTTGGTAAATGACAAAGTCAAGACTTAAACCCTGCAAAGCTAAAGGATTTAGACACTTGAAACCAAAGGGTGCTCTCTTAACCATATGAAACCCCTACATGTATTTTCTGAGGCCCGAATCCAATGATACTCTGAGAGAGCCCCATTAGGGTCTCCATCTTTCTCTTCCTCCTTTGCTCCATCTCCGCTCAGCTACAGAGACCAGACATTACATAATGACGTACCTTAAATGACGTCCACAACTACACAGTGATGTGCCTACCTCTGTGAGCTTCTCATCTCTCTTCTCAAACCCTCCCTTGTTCTCTAGCTGTGTCTCATACGTCTTCTGGTCTCAGACTCCTGACAGTGGCTGCCTTCCCTCCGGTTCGGGAATTCACAGGGGCACACACTGTTTTGTCCATCTCTGCACTTCCTGCAGTCCAGAACAATGCTCTGGACTCCTTTGGTCCTCAGTAACTCTGTCCCGAGTTGAGGTGAAGATAGGATGCCCCAAGAGCATGCTCAGGTCCAGCCAAGCTCCCTGCTCTGCAAAAGTGGGCAACCTAAGCCCTTTCCTCTCTTGTCTGCCAAGTAAACTCCTATCCACCCTGCAAAACCCAGCTCAGATGTCAGCTCCTTATGAAGACCAGACAAGACCATTCTCTATGTGTAAATACTTCACTGTGTAAATACTTCAACCTCAGCATGGTTACACTGCATGGAATTACTCCTTTCTGCTTTGATTTCTCTGCTTAACCAGGAGCTATGCAAGATCTGGGATCACCTTTTTAAAAAGTCTCCATGTCTCTCAAGTTCTGCAGAATGCCTGGTAAGGCATTAGTGAGAGACTCATATGGTGAATGCTCAATAAATGTAAACTGCACCAATTAGGTCATGAGCCAGCTGGTGTAGACACTTTGGGGCTACAACAGAGCTAATCTTGGGGATCCCTGAAGAGAGGAAGTCTGCCCTCAGGGGCACCCAGGCTCCTCCTTGCCCTCCTAGGTCTGGCTGCACCCAATCTACACCTGTGGACCATAACACGGTCCTGATTTCTATTCTCCTCATTCTCCTTCCAGACACATGAAGAAAGCACTGGCTTAGAACCAAGTCTGAGCATAAGTCTACTCAAAGCACACAGTTGGACAACCCCCCGACAGGACGGCTACATAATCGGCTACAGGCCCAATGCAAAATACAAAGGTGAGCCCCTTGTTCAAAAAAATATCAAAAATTTCAAGATGGCGACAGTGGAGTGTTGAACCAAGCGTGGGCCTTCTGAGTGCAGGGCCCACACCGTTGCACACCAATGAAGCTGGCCTTGTTCAAATAAAACCCTAACTCCCAAAGACCACCGCTAAGGTAATGCCTTATGAAGAAATGAGCTACCGAGCCACAAAAAGGCACGGAGGAACTTTAAATGCATATCGTCAGGTGAAGGAAGTTAATCTAAAAAGACCACAAAATCTATGAGCTCAACTATATGACATTCTGAAAAAAGTCAAAACTACAGAGACAGTAAAAAGATCCATGGTTGCCAGGGCCGGGGGCGTGGGGGGTGCTAGGGGAAGGGAGGGATGACTCAGTGGAGCCCAGAGGACTTTGAGGGCAGTGAAACTGTTGGGTATCATACACTAACGGTGGATACATATTATACATTTGTCAAAACCCATAGAATGTACAAACACAAAGAGGGACCCCTAATGGAAACTCTGGACTTTGGTTGGTAAGAATGTCTCAGTGTTGGTTCCTCAATTGTGACAACTCTATGATACTGATACCGAATGTAAATAATGGGGGAACTTTTTGGGGGGGGGAGGTATACGGGGGCTCTCTGTACTTCCACATCAACCGTTCTGAAAATCTGTAACTGCTTTAAGGATAAAATCTATTAAATTTTTTTTAAAAAGGGACATAGATCCATATTCTTTACCAAGTAGGGTGTGAAAGAATTTACCTCCTGAGCTCAAGGGCATGAGATGTGGGATGTGGCTCGACTGTCAGTTTGATGGCCCAGATTTCTGGTTCTCCTGCTTGGTGAGAGTGTAAAGAAACAGGTATTTTGAGGGAAAGCCGCCCCCTCCCCCGCCACCGACATCTGTCTGTTTCCCAAGAAGGGGTGATTCCTGAGAGGTGGGCAAGGAGCTCACGCCCTGGGATTTACCTGGCAAAGACTCGAGCAACTCCTGCACCACGTCAGTGTGCCCAAAATGTGCTGCCATCACAGCTGGATTGTCATCGGTGGGCTCGGTGGGCAGCTCCACCCGTCTCTCGGTGAGAAGGTACCGGACGGTCTCCAGATCGCCATAGGCCGCCGAGATGCTCAGAAGCTGGCCCTGGTCAACACAGAGCAGGGACAGGACTTCAGTGAGATGGGTGCTGTTAGGAGTGGCCAAGAGAATCAACTGGACATGCTTCACCAAGTCCACGGGCGAGCCTGGAGCTGGTACCACGTGCGGCTGTCGAGGACTTAAAATGAGGCCCATGCAAAGTGAGAGGGGCTGGAGGTGTCAAATGCCACGCAAAGACTTAGTGCAAAGCTGTCAACTCTCTTGTCAATCATTTTTATATGGATCACACGTTGAAGTGATCTTTAGTATATTCAGATCAAATAAAATATACTAATATTTCATCTGTTTCTGTTTACTTTTTGAATGTGACTGCTAGACCATTCGATATAGATGTGGCTCCCTTTCTATTTCTTCGGGACAGCACTGCTCTGTGCCCTGAGCTTCATGAGAATGGAGATCACGTGAGTATCCCCATCTGAAGCAGTATATTAATACGTGGACAAGGAACATGGAGGTTCAGAGAGGTGTCGTGACTTGCCCAAGATCACACAGCTAGAAAATGGCTCTTGACTGTACAAATGGCCCTGACTTTTCATGGGCTCGCTAGGTCTGCAAAAAGAATGCTGGGTTGGCACGTACAGAGTTTGACTGCGTTACTGAAACTTTAAGTCCTCCTGAAGCTTGGCTATTTCTGATGGACTCGGGCATCCGCGGCGTTTGAGGCGGCGGATGCAGAATCGATGCACGTTGGAATGAGGCGACCTGTGCTATGGCATTTACGGAGAACCTACTGTGTGAGGATGCCAGGGGCAATCGTGACCTCCATGAGTTTACAGGTGAGTCTGGAATCTGCATGAAACAGCCACAAGCAAGCATATTTTACTCCTGATACAGGTGTATTAGGAGTCACTTTCGGGTGAGACAGGCAGGGATGGGACAACAGAATCCCAGGGATGAGAACTGATATATTAAGCTCTTATCATGTGCCAAATGCTGCATGGAACATTTTATTTGCATGGTCACGCTTCATCCTGATAACAGTCTTAAGAGGACTGTATCTGTTGTTGATTAAAAAAAAAGAAAAGAGCCAGTTATTTTACCTGCAAAGTGAGTTTATTTGGGAATAGCAGAGGAACTGCAATTCAGGACAAGGAAACTATGGTGAACCATAGGCAAGTCTGGAGAACAGAGTGGAGGGGCTTGCTTTTGTAAGGGAAAGGAGGAAGCTGGGAGGGTGTTTTACTGAGTTCCCTTTGGCTGGGCTGTTGCTGGGCAAGGAGAAATTCTTCCTTCCTCCTGCTTGGGTATGGAAAGTAAGCTTCTCCTCCCTGGGGAATGCAAGGTTTGCTTCTTAAGGTGAGTGGTAATGCATGAGAACTTGCCCTGCAGGGCTTCCAGACTCCCATTTTATTTATTTATTTTATTTTAAATTTTTTAATTTTTTTCAGACTCCCATTTTAAATGAGGTTTCCTTTATTTATTTTCACACTATGTTTCCATCTTGTGGGTGAGGAGGGATGGGAGGGAGGGAGTTAACAGTCTGCAGAACTATCCAGGATTTGAACTGGGGTCTGTCTAGCCAAAGCCTAGGCTCCATTCTGTCCAAGACTTCCCAGGAAATGTGGGACTTGGAGGGAGGTCCGGGTTGTGCAAGTGAAGTGAATGAGCTGGCCATGTGAGGTATGCATTCAATATGACCAGAAAAGAAGAACCCACTGGCCTGCCAATCTGCCCAGGGTGCAGCCCGCTAGGCCTGCCATTCCAGGAAAGCACTTGCATTAGGGAGAAAAGCCACAGGGATTGATTAAATGATTCACCACACACAACCAACAGTTGTCTAGACTCTAGTGGGTAAGAGGCTTAAAAGCCCCATCCTCACAAAGTGGTGATGCCATAAGAAGTAACCCAGAGGCCAAGAGGGACCAGAGGGCAGGAAGGGTCGGGCTGGCACCTGGCTAGAGACAGCCCAGAGGCTCCACAGCATGTAGTTATTTTCATTCAAACAGCATAGAAAAGTATAATATAAAAAGGAGGCCTCACTCCATGCCTCTCCTTCCTAACGCCCTTTTGCAAAGGAAACTGCTCTTACATAGCCTTCTAGAATGTGTTCATCCATATCGACACATGCGTAATCCCATGTGAAACCACATGTTTTCACTTCATTCATTACAACTTTTATTGGCATATAGCAACCCTACAGAAAAGAACACACATTGTGTGTTCAGTTTCATGAACTCTTACAAAGTGAACACATTCATGTAATGGACACCCAGACCAGGGACGCAAGATGATCTGTTCCCAGAAGTCCCCTTTCTGCCCCCTTCCGGTCACTCTTCTACCTGGAATAACCACTATCCTGACTTCTAACACCATTGCCAGTTTGTATATATTATTAAAGTGGAATTATACTTCACTTACTGTTAAATTTAAGTTAAATTTTTTTTTTTTTACTTTTTGCTCTGAAATGGAGATTCATAGGAAGTCACAAAGACATTCCTGAGGGGCATCTGTGTTTCCGTAACTCTGTTTCCCCCAACGGTGACAGCTTACACAATGTAGTTCAAGATCAAAACCAGTAATCTGACATTAGTATAATGTGGGTATATCATTCTGCCATTTTGTCACATGTATATACATTTGTGTGATCACCACCATGATCAAGATGCAGAATTCCTCCATTGCGAGATCAGTCTCTCTTGAACCCCCCCTTTATAGTTACATTCACTCTACTGCCCTCCACCATGACTAACCCCAGAAACCATGAATCTCTCTTCTATCTCTATAATTTCGTCTTTTTGAGAATGTTATACAAGTGGGATCATACAGAATGTGACCTTTTGAGACTGTTTTTTTTAAATCTCCTGCTCAACATAATGCCCTTGAGATCCATCTGAGTGGTGGTATATTTCAAAGAGTTTCTTTATTTTTTTTAATTTTTAAAATTTAAATTCAATTAATTAACATATAGTGTATTATTAGTTTCAGAGATAGCATCCAGTCATTCATCAGTGTTATATAACACCCAGTGCTCATTACATCATGTGCCCTCCTTAATGTCCATCACCCAGTTACCCCACCCCCCTACCCTTCACCCCTCCAGCAACCCTCAGTTTGTTTCCTATGATTAAAAGCCTCTTATTGTTTGTCTCTCTCTCTGATTGTCTTATTTTATTTTCTCCTCCCTTCCCCTGTGATCCTCTGTTTTGTTTCTCACATTCCACGTATGAGTGAGATCACATGATAATTATCTTCCTTTGACTGACTTATCTTGCTTAGCATAATACCCTCTAGTTCCATCCACATCATTGCAAATGGCAAGATTTCAGGTTTTTTGGATGGCTGAGTAGTATTCCATTGTACATACATACTACATCTTCTTTATCCATTCATCTGTAGATGGACATCTGGTCCCTTTCCATAGTTTGGCTACTGTGGACATTGTTGCTATAAACATTGGGGTGTGGGACCACTACATTTTATCTTTGGGGTAAATCCCTAGCAGTGCAATTGCTGGGTCATAGGTTAGCTCTATTTTAAACTTTTTGAGGAACCTCCATACTGTTTTCCAGAGTAGCTACACCAGCTTGCATTCCCACCAACAGTGTAGGAGGGTTCCCCTTTCTCAAAGAATTTCTTTATAATGCTTAGTATTATATTTATATTATATTTGTAGTACATATTATGTATTTTATATATTTACAATTTATATCTATATTATATTATATTCCATTGTATGTTCAACGATTCATCTGCTAAGAATTTTATGCTTGCCTTACTGCACTGGCCAGAACTTCCAGTAATATACTGACTATAATTATGTATAATTATTCTCAAATTAAACTGCTAGTATTATATTGAGAGTAGATATCCTTGCCTTATTCCTGATGTTAGGGGTAAAGCGGTCTTTCACCATCAAGTATAAAGTTAGTTGTAGGTTTCTGTAGCTATTCATCAGGTTAAGGAAGTTCCCCTCTATTCTTAATTTTCTAAGAGTTTCTATCATGAGGGTATTAAATTTAGTCAAATGGTTTTTCTGCATCAAGTGATACGATAATGTGATTTTTCTTCTTCAGTTTATGGCTTAATCCATTCAAACTGCTATAACAAAATACCAAAGACTAAGTGGCATAAAAACAACAAAAATTTATTTCTTACAGTTTGGAGGCTGGAAGTCTGAGATTTGGGGTGCTGGCCTGGTCAGGTGAGGGCCTTCTTCCTGATGGCCGATCTTTTGTTGTATCCTCATGTGGCAGAATAAGGCTAGGGAGCTTTATGGGGATCTTTTATAAGAGCACTAACCCCTTTCATGAGAGCTCCAGCCATATGACCTAATCACCTTCCAAAGGCCCCAGCTCCAAACATCATCACATTATTCAACATACACATTTTGGGGGGACACCGACATTCAGTCTGTAGCAGTCTATTAATAATGGAGGACTATACTGATTGATTACTGAGTACTGAACCAGTCTTGTATCTCTGGGATAAATCCCATTTGGTCATGGTGTATAACTCTTTTTATATATGGCTGAAATCTATTTGTAATATGTTAAGATTTTTTGCATCTATATTCATGATGGACAGTGGTCAGAACTTTTCTTTTTTGTACTGTCTTTGTCTGGCTTGGATATCAGGTAGATTGGACTCATAGAAGTGTTGGGAAGTGTCTGTAGAGTTGGTATTAATTCTTCTTTAAACATTGGGTAGAATTCTCCCACGAAACCATCTGGGTCTGTGGATTTCTTTTTAGGAGGTTTTAAATTATAAGTTGAATTTCCTTAATAGTTAAAGGGCTATTAGAATTATGTATTTTATATTGGATGTGTTATAGTTTCTATTTTTCCAGGATTGGTCCATTTCATCTAAGTTGTCAAATTTATGTGAGTAAAGTTGTTCATATTGTTCCCTTACAATCCTTTCGATATTTGCAGGGTATGTACTAATATTCCCTATTTCCTTCCTGATATTAGTGATTTTTCTCTTTTCTCTTTGTTAGTTTTACCAGAAGTTTGTCAATTTTGTTGATCTTTTCAAAAACAATACCTTTTGTTTCATTGATTTTTCTCTATTGTTTTTCTGTTTAAATTTCATTAATTTTCTACTCTTATTTTTGGCATTTCCTTTCTCCCACTTGCTTTGGATTTATTTTGCACTTCTTGTAGTTCCTTTAGGTGGAAGTTTGGATTATTACTTTGAGACTTTTCTTCTTTTTTAATGTAAGTATTTAGTGCTATAAATTTCCCTCTCAGCACTGGTTTAGCTGCATCCCACAAATTTTGACATACATTTTCGTTTTCATTTAGTTCAATGTATTTTTTAAATTTCCCTTGAGACCTTCTTTTTGACCCATGGATTATTTAAAAGTTTGTGGTTAGTTTCCAGGTGCTTGGGATTTTCCTATTAGCTTTTTGTTATAAATTTCCAATTTGATTCCTCTGAAGTTAGAGAACATATTCTGTCTGATTTTAATTCTTTTAAATGTGCTGAGGTTTATCTTATGGCCTAGGATATGCAGTCTATCTTGAGATATGTTTTGTGGACACTTGAAAAGAATGCATTCTGCTGTTGTGTGGAATGTTTCATAAATTTCAGTTCAATTCTGTTGGTTGATGGTGTTGTTAAGTTCTGTATCCTTGCTGATTTTCTGCCTGGTTGTTCTATCACTTGTTGAGAGAGGGTATCAAACTTTCCAACTATTATTGTGGATTTATCTAGTTTTCCTTTCTGTTATATCAGTTTTTGTTTCACTATTTTGCAAGCTCTGTTGTTTGGTTCATGTGCATTTAGGATTGCTATGTCTTCTTGGTGGACTGACCCCTTCAACATTATGAAATATCCTCCCTGTCCGTGGTAATTTCCTTTACTCTGAAGTCTACTTTACCTGATATTTAGCCACTCCTTCTTTCTTTTGATTAATATTTGCATGGTATATCTTTTTCTATCCATTTACTTTCAACCTACATATAGCCTATTTGAAGTGAGTTTCTCATAGGCAGCATATACTTGCTCATGTTTTCTTTCTTTTTTTTGTTGTTGTTGCTCATGTTTTTTAAATCTACTCTGGAATCTCTTTAAGTTTATGTATTTGGACTATTTATGTTAATATAGTTATTTGTATATTAAACCTAAGTCTGTCATGAAATTTTTTGTTTCATTTTCTGTTTGCTCCGTCTTTGATTTTTTCCCCTGCCTTCCTGTGGTTTCTGAGACATTTTTAAAATTCCATTTTGGGGGCGCCTGGGTGGCTCAGTCGTTAAGCATCTGTCTTTGGCTCAGGTCATGATCCCAGGGTCCTGGGATCAAGCCCCACATCGGGCTCCTTGCTCAGTGGGAAGCCTGCTTCTCCCTCTCCCACTTGTGTTCCCTCTCTCGCTGTGTCTCGCTCTGTCAAATAAATAAATAAAATCTTTAAAAAAAATAAAATAAAATTTCATTTTGATTGGTCAATAGTGTTTTGGAGTGTATCTCTTTGTATTGTTTTTAAAGTGGTTGCTCTAGGTATGACATACATGGCTTAACAAAGTCTACTGGTTTCAATGTTTTATCAATTAAAGTGAAGTGTAAAAACCTTTCTTCTTTTACAGCACATACAGAATTTATAATCAGATGGAAAACGCTTGATATAATATTATGTAAGACTAAGCAGCATGCAAATATATATATCCAATATGACGCTATCTATATTAGAAACAACACATGCACAGATCAGCAGACGGAGAGAAAATATAACGAAATTGTTAAGTGGGACTGTTTGGATGCATTAAGAATATGGTTACTTTCTTTTTCTCTTCCTCTCTACTTTTACATATTTCTAAGTTTTCTTTTTTTGAGCATGTGCTATTTTTATAATGGAAGAGAAACGTAAAAGAATACAGTAACCTGAACCTTCAGATCGGCCTTTTGTTGTTCACATTTCAGTTATGCCTCCCCTGTCCTCTGGGAAGGTGAAAGGGTTTGCATAGATGGTGGCAGGTTGAGAAGTTGGCTTGAAAGGACCAGAACCCATGAGTTTACATGTGAAATGAGGTTAAAAAAAAAAATCCCCATTATGATTATGATGATAACAAGGAGATAATCTGAGTGGTAACCTTCATCCAGGCCAGGTCCCCAGTCTGGCTGGAGGAGCCAGCATCAACCCTACCTTTTCCAGATGGGACGTGCTCTCATCACAAGCCTCTCTGAGCAGGTGCCGGGCCCTGCTGGGGTTTCCTTGCTTGTATGCAGCATGAATGCCTTCTGTCCCAGGGCACTGTGCTGTGGGGTCACCGCCTGGTGTGGACGGTTTGCTGCCCATGTCCTCAGCACCTGGGTAGACAGAAGCACACACACAATGTCACCATCACTTGCCAGGGCTGCTCATGGGGACCACTGGAGAGGAGAGCAGGATGTGCTCTCTAGGACATAAATGTGAGGATTCAGGTGGCCCTGAAATAATGCCAGTGTCACCAAGGACAGCAGACCCCGGGACCAGCAGCTCTGGGGGAGGGACTTCCTGTGTGGGGCTGGTGCTCAGCCAGGCTGTCTCTGCAGCCACACCCTGCCGTAGTGGAGGGGGTCCAGGACACCTAGGGCCGCTGTCTGGCTGGGAACAGCCAGGCTGATCTCATTGACAGCAACAGAAAAGCCAGGGCTTTGGTGATATAGCGGATGGTCCAGCCAAACTGTCCCCCTGCTGTTTCCCTCATGGGGACTTAGTATCTAGTGGTAGAAGAAAGAAAGGCCTAATGCTAGGGATTTGGAAATCTATCCCCTCTCTGCCTAGAAAACCCCACTAAGGGCATGGGATTTAGAATCAGCAGCCCTCATCCATACCTGCCCTTGCACAAATATGCCACAATATGATCTTGGCAGTCCCATAAAACTCTGGGCCTTGGGACACCCTTGGACCACTGATGTGACTGGTCCAGGGTATCCCTAAGAAATCGCGTGACTCTGCCATTCTGGTTATCTGAAATACTCCATTCTGGGTTATCTGAAATGTGGCTCAGCCATCAGTCAGTATCTTGCTGTTTTCTAATGGTGGACACTGGCTGTCCTGGGTGGAAGACGATCCAGGCTGCTCCAGGACAACTGAGGACCTGGTGCTACTTAGGAGGAGTGGTCAGCTTTGCAGGAGGCCATCACGCAGCAATGCTGGGGCATCCACTGAGCAGCTGTGATAGGCCGGGCACTGTACTGGGTGCTGAAGATGCAGACATAAAGGAAGTCAGCTCCTACCCTCACTGAGCTCTCCCCTTAGAACAGGGGTTTTGTGGACCCTGTGGCTGATAAACAGGTTTCAGAGGTTGCCTGAACATCCTAAGTTGGACGCAAAGCTGTGTGAGCATGTGTGCACATGTGTACATTTTTTCTGAGGAGAAAAATCAAGGCTTCTACCAGATTTCCAAATGTGTAAGTGAACCAGAGTTAAAAGTTTTACCTCTATAAATGCTACTTAAAAGACTGCAAAGAATGAGGAGTTATGTTCTGATTGTGTTGAGTGAAATAGGGAGATTTTCCAACCATCCTTGGCCAAGTCCACACAGTCAGTAAAAGGCAAACCTGAACAGAAGTTTGGTCCCCTAGCTCTCAGGCTGGGGTGAACCCCCTCCATCTCTCTGTTGCCTCTTTGAAGAAATGAATAAAAAAGAAGCTTCTTCTCATGTGAAAATAATGCTGAGAAAGGTTGGTTTCCAAATATTCTTATCATAGAAGTGAATCACACTATAGCAGCTAACTTTTGGAAAATTAAAAAAAAATTATTTATTTACAATAGCATAAAACTACATGCTTAGAAACAAATTTAACAAAAGATGGGAAGACCCATATAAATGTAAAGACATCCCATGTTCATGGATTAGAAGAATCAATATTCGTAACATGTCAATTCTTCCCAATTTTATCTATAGGTTCAATAAAATCCCAACCATAATTCTCATAGGCTTTTAGGGGATAGAAATTAACAATCTAGGGGTGCCTTCGTGGCTCAGTCAGTTAAGCGTCTGCCTTCGGCTCAGGTCATGATCCCAGGGTCCTGGGATTGAATCCCACATCAGGCTCCCTGCTCAGTGGGGAGTCTGCTTCTCCCTCTCTCCCGTTTGTGCTCTATTTCTTGCTATCTCTCTCTCTCTCAAATAAATAAATAAAATCTTTTAATTAAAAAAAAGGAATTAACAATCTGATCTTCAAGTCTGTATGGAAATTTAAAGGATTTTAAATATCCCAAGTAATCTTGAAAAAGAAGACAACTGGAAGATGTACACCACCTGATTTCAAGACTTACTATAAAGCTACAGTAATCAGGGGGCACCTGGGTGACTCGGTGGGTTAAGTGTCCAACTCTTGATTTCAGCTCAGGTCATGATCTCAGGGTTGTGGGATCGAGCCCCACATCAGACTCTGCACTGGGTGTGGAGCTTGATTGGGATTCTTTCTCTCCTCTCCCTCTGCCCCTCCCCACTTACGCTCTCTTTCTCTTTAAAAAAAAAAAAAAGCTACAGTAATCAAGACATTGTGGTACCAGTAGAGACAGATAAATCCATGGGACAGCATAGAGAGTTGAGAAATACACCATACTTGTAATACTTGTATATCCAATTGGTTTTTGACAAGAGTGCCAAAGCAATATGATGAGAAAAGCAGTCTTTTCAACAAATGGCGCTGGAACAGCTAGACATCTACAATGAATAAAAAGAAACCCAGACTCCCGCTTCTTACCACACACAAGCATTAATCTGAGATGGATCATGGACCTAGCATAATGTTTAAAATTAAGGAACTTCTAGAGAAAATACATGAGAATATCTTTATGCCTCGAGAGTAAGCAAAGGTTTCTTAGATGGGACACAGGAAACAATAACTATGAAAGGAAAACTTGCTAAGTTAGACTTCACCAAAAATTTCTACTCATCAAAAGATTGATCTACCATTTAAAAATGAAAAAGCAAGTTAGATACTGGAAGAAAATATTTACAAAACATAACCCCCCCACCCCCAAAAAGGAGAGAATGGTATCCAAAATACACAAAGGACTCCTATAACTCAGTAATAAAGGACAGCCCAATTAAAAATGGGTGAAGATTGGAACAGCAGAAGATATTAAAAATGCTCAATACCGGGGCGCCTGGGTGGTTCAGATGGTTAAGCGTCTGCCTTCGGCTCAGGTCATGATTCCAGGGTCCTAGGATCGAGCCCCACATCGGGCTCCTGGCTCAGTGGGGAGCCTGCTTCTCCCTCTGCCTCTGCCTCTCCCCCTGCTCCTGCTCTCTCTCTCTCTCTGTATCTCTGTGTCTCAAATGAATAAATAAAACCTTTAAAAAAATGCTCAATATCATTAGTCATCAGGGAGATGTAAATTAAAACCAGAAGGAGACACCAGTCTACTCCCAGCAGAATTACTAAAATTTAAAAAGACTTACAGTACTTGGTGAGGATACGGAGCAACCAGAACACTCATATCTTATTGGTTGGAGTGTAAAATGGTATAACCATTTGGAAATAAGTCTGGTGGTTTCTTATAAAACTAAATATACAGCTACCCTATGATCCAGCAAGTCTATTCTCAGATATTTACCCAAGAGAAATAGGTCTAAAAAACTTATCCAAGAACGTTAATAGCAGTTTCATTCATAGTATCTCCAAACTGTAAATAGCACAAATGTCCATCAACAGAAAAACAGATTAACGACTACTGTGGTTTAGTAACTATTCAGCAATAAAAAGGAATAAACTACTGATCCATGAAATGAGAGACAGGAAATCTCAAAACATAATGCTTTAGAAAATGTTAATGGTAGACTTTAGGTGGTGGGTAATGGATGTATATGGTTCGATTCTTTCAACTTTATGTTTCAAATTTTTAGTAAGAAAATGTAGAGAGAAGTGAATCAAAATATCATACCCTAAATGCAGGGCCCACCATATGGCATCCTGAATGAGATCCACCATCAGGGCAGAAAAAAAATCCTCCTCTATAGAAAGGCAAAGACAATCTGCTTACAGTAAAGGTCCTTGAAACCGTTCAGGGTCTTTACAGCTCATTCTAAGCCATGACTTTCACTATTTCAAAGGCAAACATTCTGAAAATCCATGTAAGTGGATAAAGCATCACACACGCTCTGCATCATTCCCGAAACCAAAGCAAGATTGCTGTGTCTGAGTGGAGATTACTGGGGGTTTTTTGGCTGTGTATTTTTTGCAAAGAGCAATCAGAAAACGGCTTAGTGTGTAAGTGGTTGCACTTGTGAGTAAGGCAGCTTCGCTCCCCATCACACGCTAACAGTCCCATTAATTATTTACCATCAGAGACCCTGGGACATCGGAGAGCTGGCTGGAAGGAGAAAGGCATTGGCAGGTTTCGAGAAGAGGGTAGAATCAACAGCAGCAGCATCCATCAGAAGAGGCACTTAATTATGTCATCGCTCATCTTTCAAAATTAAACAAATATTTCCCTTATCTCTGTAAAATACAAGCATGTGTGTGTGTGTGTGTGTGTGTGTGTGTACAAGCAAGTATGAAGTGACCTCTTCTGTTTACTGTAGGAACGTAAATAAAAACAGTTCACCTTCAGTCCCAGTTAAGTGACACTGAGAAGGCAGAACCTAGGGATTAGGGTGCATGTCAATTTACAAGGCGGGGGGCGCCTGGGTGGCTCAGTCGGTTAAGTGTCGGCCTTCGGCTCAGGTCATGATCCCGGGGTCCTGGGATCGAGCCCCTCGTAGGGCTCCCTGCTCAGTGGGGAGCCTACTTCTCCCCTTCCCTCTGCCTCCTGCTCTGCCTACTTGTGCTCTCTGTCAAATAAATAAATAAAATCTTTAAAAAAAATTACAAGGGGGATTTTACTTTAACTTGACTTTTAAATAATGCAGCATATGTGCGGTAAATGATGTAATCAGAACCAAGACTCTGCTCGATTCTATTTACATATTTTTTAATATAGTGGTGTTTTCAGTTTTGGATCTGATTTTCTTAGGTTGCGTGGACAACGCATGTCCACCGTCACTGATGCTGAGAGCTGGGGGTTCTAGTGCAATCAAATTGTTGGGAGGACATTATGGGGAAAGATCCACTAATGCACACACATTTAATTTAATCTGCCAACTCCTTTTAATTTCCTGAAATTACAAAGAGAAGGGTTAACATGTATTTACATTGAAAGAAAAAAGACCACAATGCCAATAGTTAGTATTAAGGATGGGCTGGCGTAGAATTAATAATGGAATTAGAAAAGATTTTTATTCTTTATTTTTCAAGTCCCCCATAATGGAATTAAATGAGTGTTTTATTTTAAACTTTAAAGAGATTACACAAGTAATAAAAGA